TCGCACTTTAAATTGTTTCATGCGTTAAATATACATAAATATCCGGTTTGAGGAGTTAAATATGGAACGTTATGTATATATTAACGTACATTAAAGCTTACAACGTTAGCAATTATGAGTATAAAAAGCGGTATGTAAATATAACATTTCATATAAATAGATCTGAATGTGAACAGTAATCAATAAAGAGAGAATTTTTACAATTGCAGAAAATGAGGCAAATAGAATGAGACACTTAACCGAATTAGTAATTAATATATTTTCTCTGCATTTGTTTCTTATTGCATTGCAAAAATTGCATACTCTGCGTAAAATTAATGAGACCTTGCGACGCTCGCGAGAACTTCGCCAAGTCGATATCCCAGCAAAATCATACATACCGAACGCAAGATAAACTGTGAGAGCAGTACCGTTAAGGACGTTCCGCAATATTATGCCAACTTCGACGACCATAGATCGTCGTTGAAGAGCGATCATTAAAGATGTTTTAACGAGGAGCCGCGCAGACGGGACAATAGCGAGCAGGAATCACGAGAGGGCCGTCATTTCCCTCCTTTCCCCCCCCGCTCCCATCTCCCCTCCCAGATCTCTATTGGATACATGCGAGAGTCTGTCCCGACTCTCCATCTGCGTGGGTCTCGCTCGGTGCATTCGTCACAGACTCTGGGAGGGAGATATTAAACCCTTTGCCGCGTGATTTAGTTGACAAAGTAGCGTAGTTACAGTCGCTCGCAGAGACGAGACCAGCTCTAGCCCAGGCTTTCTCCCTCCCCCTCTCCCTCCTCCCCTGCATGCCGTCCTCTCGTGGCATCCTTTCGAGCACCGCCGTGACGACACACCGTGCACGGCCGAGGAACACGACCCCCCAGGCTATTTTAAAATAAAAAAAGTCATTGTTTAAGCGTCTTTCGGAATCCGATATCCGTATTAGTGTTTAGTCTGGCGTCGCGTTTCACCGAGTAGCAGACACGCCAGCTCGTACTGCACGTGCCATTTTCTCGATTTTACCTCTCCCATCTCTCTCTCTCTCTCTCTCTCTCTCTCTCTCTTTCTCTTTCTTTTGTCCGCGGCCTGTCTTCGTCGCTCACCGCGCGCTACGTCTAAAATTTTGCAATCAGGCATTAATTAAACATTCTTGTAACTCTGCAGGTACTTTTCGTCGAACGGAAATACTCGCTGTTACTCGCTCCTTTGAAACATGAATTTCGCTTACACAATTCACAACATATTAACGACTTGACGTTTTTATCCGCGAGTAATTGATTTGAAATCTATCGCAGAAGTTGTCATTAAATTCGATAGCGCGATGGGACATCCTACGAGATATCGCCGACGAATTTATGTGAAAGTAATACACCGCGTAAATTCCTGAATCGTCATTATATAAATCTGTCACGAATCGCTTTCACGAATCAACATTTTCGAAAAAGTCAAAAAAGAAATCTATACTCTACAGGTTACTGCGACGATAACGATCAGCGAGATCGTGCCAGATCGGCGTAGCCTACCTCGCAGTCCCTAACTCGTAGATCACGACGGCGATGGCGTATTGTCTCTCCCTCTTGCTCGTTACCATCCGCGCGCCTATTATCCGATTCTATTTTCCAATCTATCCTCGTACAAGGCGCACCTTGTCTCGTCCAGGCTGCCGCTAGTCTTCTCCTCCAAGTGAATGCGTAGCGATGCGCTCTTTGTCTCGCGGCACTTCAAATAGGCGGCACTCGAGACTCGGCACAAAGAGCGGCGAACCCGTACGGCGGCGGTGATAACAGAGAGCAAGAAAGCTCGAGATAAGACCGAGGGCCCACTCAACCGCGCCGCTCTGCGTCGGTTCATTCCCGAGGGAATTTACACACACGGTACGTTGTCGATATCTCGTGTGTTAGCTTAATTGAATCATGCACAAAATCATCGTGGCACCATGGCGAGTTTTTTTTTTTTAATCATTCTAATATTGCATTGAAACTTTGAGAATTTTATCCAATTCTTCGTTGCCATCGGATTCGCTTCCACCGGATGATAGATTAGCTTCTGAAGATTTTTAGATAAAGAAACGAGCACGCGAACGTTTCCAAGAAACAATCGCAAGTACGAATAAAAAATAATAATACATGTATTTTTGTCGGACGATTATTCGGATTCCTCTTTTCAACATCCTTAGCTCGAACAATCGCAAACTCGTCCTTCCTATCGCGATGCACGCGATACTCGTGGATGCGCTCGGCGAAGCCGCGGAGTGCATACGCTGCGCGCACATACACCAGCGCATCGCGCGCTCGTATAAACGAGCAGGAAGGACAGAGAGGGAGAGTCGTTCAAACGAGGGGCCCGCAGCGCCTGGGCTCTGGGCCTCGTCGCGTGTTTTTGCCCCCCGTCTGGCCCCCACCGCGGCTCATCGTTTTTTGTCTGGTGCACCGCATGCTCTGCACAGCTCACCTCGCTCCCTCCCCCCTCACCACGGTCGATGTACCTCCTCCTCCACCGCCCCCTTCTCTCTCTGTCAATCTCTCTCGTCGTGCCCGCTCGCGCTCTCGCTCTCAATCAGGGCCGGTGTCAGCGGGCATTCTCGCGATGCTCCGTTTGCAAAGTGTTGATGCTGAATATTTTCGATATGACGACATCTTACCTTCAATGTAGCAAAAACAAAAAACAAAATTTTTATAGAGTATATAAATCGTAAATACGCGCACAATGTATTTTTATAATTTGTATTACTCCGATTTCTATTCGTAAAAAGAATCGAGAGTTTTTATATCACAACTGAGATACGGGCCTTTAAAGTTTTCTCTAGGAAAAAGAATATAATAGAAATTCATAAGTTATTCGAAATTTTTTTCCAGTTTGAGTTTATAAGTCTCTAGATCCCGAGTCAGCAAATGTTTTCCAGGAATTTTCCTTTCCCGTCGAGGAGAATCTTATGTAAATTTGAGAAACACTGAAACGCGCGTAAAGTCACTTTTTAAATTATTGCATTCGAAATTGAAATGAAATGTATGTAGGTTGTTAAAATTATTTTTTATTTTGGAGTTGTACGTACATTTGTGCACAGTAATTAAAAAAAAAAGTATCATTACTAAAATAATTCGATTATGATATCATTACCGAATTGTTCCGCATAAACGAATGCGAGATATGTACTTGGTTTAACGTTCGAAGTCTCTTGTTCAAAATTAACTTGCTGGCGAACGTTCGCGCCGTCCCTGTTCTCAATCTCATCGTCATCGGGTCCTTCGCCGCGTCGCATCCGGGCGGTATCTCCCCGAGCCGAGACACGCGCACGGACACGCGTGTCCCTGCCGCGCGGTAGAGAAGGAGAACAAGGAAGCGATGGAGGCCGTCGGACGATGCCGGAGACCCAAGCTGTTCCGCAGTCGCTAGCGTGAGGTGATGGTCGGGTGGCCGGGGGGAAGTACGCGGGGGGAAGGAAGATGCGGTCGTTCGATCTCGGTGCACCTGCCGGCGTTGACGTTCGCGATGCCGAACGGCGATTCGCGATCAAACTGCTCGTACGAAGCTCAAAAAGGATCTCAGGCTCGCGATGGAGATCCTTTTCACAACCCGAGTCTGTCAAATCCTGCGTAATTTTCTCGTTAATTCTTAAATCCGTTTTTAATTGTTTAATAACATGTGTAAAAATTGTAGATGTTTAATAATATAAAGAATTTTAGTTAAAGTACATTGTTCATCTTTTAACATTTATTTTTGAACGATATTTTTTCTGGGAGAAACTTTTAATATGAGAATTAGGTATTGAAAAAATAGATTATTTTCGTTACTAAAATTATGTTATATACAATTAAATGTTCGTTCTAAAAACAACGTTTAGCCGTTAGTGAATTAATTATCTCTCTATCAATTTACATATTCTTATTAAATATATACGACTTGTTGATATGTAATATTTGACAACTGAGAGCACTCTTGTTACGGGAATCTTAAAGGAAATTCTTCATATAATATCAGGAGGAGAATAAGATTTTGACACTTCTATTTAGCACCTCATTCGGAATCAAATCAAACGCTAATTATTGACCAATTAGCCGCTCTAGCAATAGATACATTTATTACCGCGTGCAACATGTGCCGTATGCTCGACGATTTATGTGCGTTTAACTGCGTTCTGATGAAACGATATTACATGATTGATAACACGATGGTTTGCACGACGTTCTTCGTACGCGTCGCGAAACGTATCTACACGAGCGGTTACTCTCGCGAGTCCTTGTCCTTGACAGTAGCAAGGTTACGGAAAATGACATCTAATCGTTTCCACGTGTCGCGATGATTTGTGTGTCGACTCGACAAACCGCACGCAAGGCATTACTCGCGTTATGATCGTTTGAGTTGTAATAACTTATAGTAGTCTTGACACCACGATTCGAAGAGACAAATGACATGTCTTAATGCTTTCGAACAGTTCATTTTTGTAAGTAAAAAGTTCTTTATCTCTCTTATTTGCATTAACATATAATGTATGCCGTTCTCGTTTATGCTACATAGCGCATTATTAAAGTTAGTTATATAAAGAAATAATTTCATTACTTCATTGATATACACACGGGTGTATTTAATACGCATGAATTACACGAAAAGGATATTGGTATTCAATCTTAATAAAGTTTTAAATTAATTATAATTAATAATAAAATAAAAAAGAAAAAAAATATATATATACATACGTTAATACGTACATATATCGTTTGAAAAAGTTTTATTGACTAACATGAAAAAGTACATGAAAAATATCTCATTGTCAGAAAAATCAATATTTCTTTGAGTGTCGGTGACCATAACTCACTGAAATTTTTTTCAGATTCTTTGAATAATTCATTTTCGCATTAACAACATTCTTATCTTTCCACTAAGAAAAATCACGGTAGTTACGACACATAGAATATAAACAGATAAATGCGAAAATTATCGAGATTGGCGTTATACGGAGTAGGAAGTTTCCGATTTAAAATTACTGACCAATCGCGGTATCCGATTTCCGGTTACAGTGGGTGCGAGCGGCTACATCGTCTCGGCGGCGCTCGTGCTGATAGTCGGAGCACTGGTGGGTGTCCTGGCGACGATATCGCGTCATCTTCATCATCGTCGGCTGTTGGTGCATGAGCCGGTTCCTCCCGGCTCTGCTTCCTCTTCTGCCTCGATTCTCCATCATCATCGGCATCACCATCATCGTCATCGTCATCGTCGTGAGGAGCCACCGCCGCCGCCGTTACAGCGCTGTCTTCTACTACAAGATCATTATCGTTATCCTGACACACCCGTGAGTACCATCTGATCATCGGGAATATATGTAAAATTACGTTTCTACGAAGCATGTAGGATAGAAAAATTTCGATTTCAACGTCGATAATTATACATCGCGACATCGATGTGTAATATGGTTAATGGGACGAAGAATAACGCGAGCAGAGAAGGCATTTATTTTCTATATACAAGCGCGCGCTTTTGAATACGTCTAATATTAGAGGGCATTAAGACAAGTTTATTACGATAACCAGGAGAATTAGCAATACATTGCGTCATCACCGGATGGATTTATATGCGGATTTATCATATATATATCTCGAACCCGTTCGAAATAAAACCAAAGCACACTTCCGCATATTCGTTGAAACTGTATACGTCGTACTAATTTTAGCAGACTTGACCGAGTTCGTCGAATAGCTTCTTTACAAATAACGACTCGAACGTGAGTCGCGACAAAACGTCTCGTATCGCATTCTCTCCCCCCCCCCCCGGAACAATTCTCCATTACTTTCCGTTGTCGCATTTCGCTCGCGGAACAATCGCCGGTCTCATTACACATTCCTGATATCGCGCGTCACGAGTCCAAAAGGCACCACGCGCGCTATCGTCAGCGCTTTTTTTTCCCTTCTCGTCAAGCAATAGAGAGTTATATGCAGCGGTCAAAAGGGGGAGGAGGGGGAGGAGAGGGGAAGCACGATTTCCCATTCAGCGGAGGTGGTTATCGGCGACGTTGTCGACCTTCGGTGAGATTATTACACGATTCGTGGAATGTCGAGGACTATCTAGGAAAAAGCTTCCGATATCTAATCTCGGCAGCCGGCCGGTCGGCTTGGACGCGGCACAGCTGCATCTATTCGGTGCACGTGTTTTTGCCTTTCTTTTTTTTTCTGCGTTGCCCCGTCACAGAGCAGCGGAGGCAACACACGCTCGTGGCCGCGCATAACTTCCCGTGCTCTCCTTCACTTTTTCTTTCCGTGTCTTTCTGATGTCCCGATTCAATTATTTCAAACGCGCGATAACGCGCGAGGGCGAATTTAGGACGAGCGTGATTCAAGACGCCACCTGCAGCCGTAATCGATAGTATTGTAGTTTCGAGCAGCGAGTTTTCAGCTGAAGACCTTGCGGAGCATCGAAGCGATATATTGAGTTTCATATATTGAAATCAATCCTTTATAATGTAACTCAATGCGATATAATTCGCTAATAACATTTAATTTTCGACCGAAAAACTCGACGAAATAATTTGATCATTGAAAAATAATAGTATAAGTTATGTGAAAAATATTTAAAAATAATTTTCTGAAATATATTTATTCAGTTTCATTTAAGAAACATTTTGAGAAATTAATACCTACTAAATATCCATAAAGATTTTTAATGATCAATTTTTCTTTCGCGCGAACATATCTGGATATCCCCTCAAAACAATTTTCCCAAAGATAAGTGTTATAATTCACATAAGCAGCGTAATGCGTCAGTTATACGTTTCCACTTGGCGACGTATCGTATCCCGATGGCGAGAGATACCGGATCCCGGCATCGATCGGTGGCGGGAGCCCTTTCCTCGGCAAAGCCCCGAGGGTACGAGGACGTCGACGGTGCGTCCACCGCGCGCGCTTCGGTTTCCATCGGCATCGGGCGATGGGGAACTTAATTTGGAAGTTACCGGTTCCGTGATTACGTCGAGGAGAGTCGGCGGAAGTTCCATCCTCCTTCTCGTCGGCGAGACGTTGCGATGCGTTTCGTACAGCCGTCACGCCTGCCCCCTTTCCGCTACCCGCGGCCGCCGCCGCCGCCGCCGCCGCCGTCGCCGCGACGCGGACCATTGTTATTCTAGATTGCATCGCAAATTAGATTACGGCGTACTACGGGACCGCCCTTATTCCCGCGCGCGCCGACGCCGACGTCGACGATGGCGACGACGACGACGACGACGACGACGACGCGCTGCTCTACGCTCTTTGGCGGAGGTCGAGAGGATGCGGCTTTCTTTGCTCCTCTCGGTCGCGCATCCTCCCGTCCTTATCTCGCTCCCGATCCGCGCCAGATTGCGGCACACACGAGCCGCCACCGCCGCCGCACCGCCTTCTCCGCGTGCATACAGATGCTCCAAGCGACGACGCGACTTCGGAATGTTACGACTGCAACGTCGAAAATTTCCCCACGAGCTGAGAGATCCCTTCTTTCCGATATTCTCTGCCGACGGAACTTTGACCGTTGGAGATTTTAAATTGATAATTTTGAGAAATTTTATATTTTTGTATAATATATAATTTTTTAGACGTGATAAAATTGATAGAAGATTATCATTAACATTAGAAGCAAATTAATCTTGGTTCTATTTCTGCTGCTTTGGCTGTTTTTCTACTTTTCTCTAAATTTAGTATAATAACAAATATTCATCTGCTATTGAGATCTAACCACAAGAAAAATACTGATCAAACTTAATAATTGTCGAACTTCCAAAATTAATTACAAAATATCGTTATCTTAATGCAATCTTATTTGGATTTGATTTCTTTTGCTCCAATTTCATTATCGCGTTGAATATATCATTCATTTGCATTACTTTATCTACTCGGAGTAGTGGCAACTAACAATAAGCATCGGAATCGGGATAATATATGTAGCTGATCAATATCGTTCAGTAATAATAATGATGATTAAATTAGCTGGTGTCAAATTTATTAGACAAAGTTAAGTCTTTTCTCAATTAACGTTTTTTCGGATACTTTTTTGGTGTACTTGTTTGACCTTCCGGCCGACCTTCTCGGTCCAAGATTGTGCAGCCATTGACTGTAGATAGCCGACCGTAAAAGAGACGAGAGATTAGTCAGGATAGGAGTAAATATTATGTCTAGCATCTTGCAGCAGTAGTTTCCGGTTACTCCTTCGCCATTGTCTTTCTCGTTTTACCTTGCACTCTTTTCTTTGCAGAAGAAATCTCGCGGACAGGTCGATAAGACATTTTGAAATGATTTTTTTTCATTGTCAGACGCGATTCATATCATGTGCATAAGTTTGCAAAAGATGTCCCGCTTGTTACTATCTCGAGCCTATCTGATGATTATTATTTCGAAGTACCATCATCCGTTTTTAGGCTTTCTACATTTTATTATCGTAAATGATAATCAAATGAGCCGTTTAATATCCGGGCAAATAAAACCAGCGGAGAAGATTAATCGAGCAGATTAAATAGAAAGAATTAAACGACCGGGCATTTTCCATGACACGGCAGTGCCTCGTCTTTTTCCCATGTGGAAAATGCCGGCGTGTCGCAATCGTATACGACGACGTCGGATAGCGGTGTTTATCCACCGTCGCGTCGTCGCCGATGGCGTCGCGGGGGCATCACGGGGAGAGGATGCACCCTAAACCACTGCGACGCCAACGAGATGCGACGCGACGCGACGCGACGCGGCACGACCCGACCCGACCCGACGCGACGGTGCGCGACGGACGTTACGCGTTCGCTATGCGAGCCCCGCTATGTAAACCCCGCAGATCAAGCGACACCCGGGCTTCCCCCGGTAACGTTAAGCTCGCGCTCGCGAGCGGGGAAGCAATGACCTGATTTGCAATTTATTACGTTTGGGCGTCGTCCAAGTACGGCGCATTGGCGCCGCTGCCAAATCGGCGGCGGCTGCCGATCGACGCGCGGCACAGCACACCGCGAACGCTCCCACGAGCGTGAAAAACAGCGAAGCGGAGCGAGTGCTGTGTAATAATAATAAAAAAAAAAAAAATATGAGAATCAACGCTTGTACCAACCCCGGCGGGAAAAACAATCGGGAGAGACAAGTAGGCAAACAGAGCCGCGTGGGTCCCGCGCGGATGGTGTATACGCCCCGAATTCCGACGTGGGCCGCAAAATCGCGAATCGAGATTCCCGGTCATGTTTCCGCCGCGGGTGTAGCGTGTCGGTGAAGTAAACACGTCAAGCATGACACGCGCCGTGACAAATCGTCTGGTTGAAACGTTTCGATCCGTGACCGTCGGGATTACTTGTTCATGTGGATTGATTTCTTGGCTCATACTCAGTAGAATCATTATCAATTAGATTGCTCCAGATCTCTGTTAGTCTTTTTTCGCTACGCAACACGCGCAATGAGTAAAAATATACAATTGGTTCGCAACACATTTCTGTCATTACGTTAAAATGATGATAGAGAATGTCTCGTTATTGAGAAGTCAAACGACGATAGTCTGCTGTCAAGCTTCTACTTGTCAGAAAGATTAACTTCGATTCTACAAACAAGTGAAAATGAGGTCAACGAGCTTTGAAACGAGCCGACGTTATAAAATAACGTTGTCCAGACGTGCTAAGTGGCATTTTGTACAGTACCTACTTTCCGCGGCAATCGGTTACAGGCTATTGATATTTTGGGAGCGGGTGGCGGGTTCGTGAGCGGCACCCATATGTCATGGGGATTTGTAGCTCGCGGGTGGAACTAGAATATACGGCGCGATGACGTAACACGACGACCGCCCGCCCAGTGACGCAACGTCACACTCGCGCGATAGCGCGACGAAGGCCGCGATATGCGACCAGATCGCGCCGCGCACGTGTCTCTATTACCTTTTCCGGGAAATAACGACGTCTAGACTTACGCGTGATTCATCGTCCGCCGATGCGAGAACAGTAGCAGCAGAGAGATAAATCGTGACGATGATGAGTTTCGCGGCCGTTAAAGTGCCGCCGTGGTCCGCGATTTAAAGAACACGCGTACGCTACAATCTTAGATTTCACGTTGAGAACAAAGGAAGAGATACGTCCAGAATGATCCTCGGTTCGCGTTAATTATTTCCAGCGAGTAATCTAGAGCGCAGAGGCAGATGTCACGTAAACGTAGATTATTCGGAGTTTATTTCTCGATTGCGATTTGCGACAAATTACGAACGACGCTAGCTTTTGAAATTCTTTTTGAGATACCGTTTCTTTCATTCTAGATTTCTTTTCTCTTGTTATCAATGAAGCGAAGCATCTAGTTACTCTAAATGTGGTTTGTTAAA